CATACCAACATCCACACCCATACCAACATCCACACCCATACCAACATACACACCCATACCAACATCCACACCCATACCAACATCCACACCCATACCAACATCCACACCCATACCAACATCCACACCCATACCAACATCCACACCCATACCAACATCCACACCCATACCAACATCCACACCCATACCAACATCCATACCCATACCAACATCCACACCCATACCAACATCCACACCCATACCAACATCCACACCCATACCAACATCCACACCCATATCAACATCCACACCCATATCAACATCCACACCCATACCAACATCCACGCCGCACACCCACCCGCACCCCCACTCACACTCACCTACACTCATATCCACACCCCAAAAAATCCATATATGTAAAACTTGAAACTTGAATTCAATTGAGTTTTCAAGTTTCAAGTGAGTTTTCAATTTTCAACTTTCAAGTTTCAACTTTCAATGAAAATATAAACATTTTGGAGATATTGATTCACTAGTGCAGATAATCTTTATATAGTGATTGACTTTGAATGCTGATCCATTCAGATATATATTCATTCAACTTATCAATCCTTGCTCGACAAAATTCAAAAAATAAATAACTGTTTCCTATGTCTCCTACATGTCTGGAAAGGACTGGCTGCAAAAGGACTGATCGCGACGGGACTGATGGAGAAATGAGTGGCCACACTACGACATACATCACGTCGCAGCTGCTGTGGGCGCCGCGAAAGGACTGACCACACTACGACATACATCACATTGCAGCTGCTGTGGGTGCCGCGAAAGGACTGGCCACGCTACGACATACATCACATCGCAGCTGCTGTGGGTACCGCGAAAGGACTGGTCACGCTACGACATACATCACGTCGCAGCTGCTGTGGGTACCGCGAAAGGACTGACCACGCTACGACATACATCACATCGCAGCTGCTGTGGGTGCCGCGAAAGGACTGGCCACACTACGACATACATCACGTCGCAGCTGCTGTGGGTGCCGCGAAAGGACTCACCACACTACGACATACATCACATCGGAGCTGGTGTGGGTGCCGCGAAAGGACTGGCCACTCATTTCTCCATCAGTCCCGTCGCGATCAGTCCTTTTGCAGCCAGTCCTTTCCAGACATGTAGAAGACATAGGAAACAGTTATTTATTTTTTGAATTTTGTCGAGCAAGGATTGATAAGTTGAATGAATATATATCTGAATGGATCAGCATTCAAAGTCAATCACTATATAAAGATTATCTGCACTAGTGAATCAATATCTCCAAAATGTTTATATTTTCATTGAAAGTTGAAACTTGAAACTTGAAAGTTGAAACTTGAATTGAAACTTGAAAC